GAGAGAGAGAGAGAGAGAGAGAGAGAGAGAGAGAGAGAGAGAGAGTTTTCTTATACCTGCAGACGGTGGAGAGTGATTGGCTGTCGAGGGAACAACCAGAGGACAAGTCGGAAAGATGTCAATCTCACTGCAAACCAATTGTTTGCTAATCCAACGGAGGACAACAACGCCCAATGGAATCAAAATTCTCAAATCAATAGAATACACATGAGGCTTGCTGCAATGGCCATCAACTACTTACCTGACAATGTAATATAAAATGAACAAAGGGTCATCGAACCCATATCCCCTGCTTGGAAGGCAGATTCGTAACTCATGCAGTCGCACGCGGGCCTCTCATACTCTCCAGAGAAACCGTCTGAAAAAGTGCCACAATAACAAATCACCTTCTTCTGTCTTGCCTTCAGACTGCATACTCTGGGCACGGCATGAGAACATGTGGTTGGTCACACAACCTACACTCTTTTTGATGGGCAGCCCTGTGCTCTCTGTTGCCCCTCACAACCGCCAAAGTGCTCTGCTCCATTGTCCCAGAGCAAACACTGCTGCTGTACTCCCAGTGTCCCACCAAGCAGGCTAAGTCCACCTCAGCGCAGAACATGTCCCAGTCCCACAGGAATCTTTGGTCCCACAGAAACCTTTGGTCCCACAGGAATCTTTGGTCCCACAGGAATCTTGGGTCCCACAGGAATCTTGGGTCCCACAGGAATCTTTGGTCACCACAGCCATCTGATTAAAAGTTCCACGGGGATCGTTAGGACCAGAAAGTCCCAACAGGAATCTCTGGTCACACAGTGCCGTTCGTACCAAATGAATCTTTGGGACCGAAAGGTCCCACATGAATCTGGTGGTCACACAGGAATCTTTCGTACCAATCGAATCTTTGGGACCAAAAGGTCCCACAGGCATCCGACCGAAACATTCGACAGCAATCTTCAGAACCGAAAGGTCCCACAGGAAACTTCGGGACCAAAAAGTCCCACAGGAATCTTTGGGACCAAGAGGTCCCAATGGCTCCAAGCACAAACTGTGACAAAATGGGACCAGAGTTCCAAGTCGCTTGGGGAAGCTCTGTCCAATGCACCCTTACCATCTTCCAATTCGGCCTTCATGCTGAACGCGCCATATCTGCAGATCATTCCAGATACCAAGTACACAAGTGCAAAATCGTTCGGAGTCGTTAGCTACGGCAGGCATGACAGCGAACCTCTTTTTCTTTTTTTTAAGTTTTTTAAGGATTTATACGGGAAACCTACTTAACGAGGTGATAGGAGCATCCCCGGTAAGTAGGACCCGGCGTCGAAGGCTCCATCTATTCCTAATGTGAGGATTGAGCCCTCAAGAAGGGGCCTTGCCATGATGTACATGTTCTGGGCTAAGGCCCCAGCAAGCCTCGTGCCCGCCCTAAGTGAAGGCGGGCCAGCAAATCAACAAGAGCCCTCTGTGCAAACATTTCACGAAGTGGGGTCCATACAGTTGCAGCACGCCAGTTGGTTGGAGTGCACCGAGTCTCGAATCTCTGCAAATGTGGAGATCCCAGGGCCTCTGAGTTAGTTAGGCCCTGGGCACTTGAACGTGAGGCCGATATAGAGGCCGAAAATGCCAAAGGGAAATCGGCCCACTATCTGAATCTGGCCGCAGGCCTTGACAAAAGAGGCGCAACTGCATCACCCGGGCCCCAACTGCATCGGAACTGGGTTCAGGCACTGGGGCCCAGTCGCAGGCTGAAGGGAGGCCGCCCACACGCAACACTGGCATATAGGCAAGTAGGGTGAGTGGGCAGGGATCGGCACGCTGCGCAAATGCGAGCTGCTGCGCTGCTGCGCTGCTGCGCTGCTGCGCTGCACTAGGGCAGAGGTGCGAGGCAGGCAGGCGCTAGGCGGTAGGGCGCTGCCTGTGCACTGGGCGCTGGCGGCCATAGCCGAGCTGCACAGGGCGCAGGGGAGGTGAGGGCGGAGGTGGTTCTTCGGAGGTGAAGGGCGCTGTGTGGGTACAAGGGAGAGTGTGGGTGAAAAGGACACGTACCTGGTGGTGGAGGTCGGCATTGGTGTTGACATCATCACTCGCTGGTAGTCAAGTTGTCTGGTTGTTTTCATTGCTGTAGTTGTAGGCTTAGTCTGTAGAGTAGATAGGGCGCCTGGCGCCATTCACAAGAGAGAGCTAATTTGGGTTATGCTGTTGGTGTTGCCCTGTTGGGCTTGGACATTGACTCACGATTCTTCTGTATCATTCTCAAATGGATGGTTACTCGGTTCCGTTGTGCTATCTGCTCTGGCTTTGACTACTTGGACTTCAGTGTGATTTTGCATCCTGGATTTCTGTGCTTCGTCCATATTCATGTTCCTTGCACTAACATAATTTCCGTCCTTTTCTTTCTTTCTTTCTTTCTTTCTTTCTTTCTTTCAGAAGAAGAAGAAGAAGAAGAAGAAGAAGAGGGGGTTAATACCTAATGTTACTGTATCCATCTGCTTCTGTCAGAAGGTTTGAACCATGATCTAGTGAATTCATGTGTACCATGCAGCTGCGTGAGGCGGCATCATGTCAGTGGACTGTTCAGCTATGGTAGATGTGACACCTAACGACAGTGTGATCACAAGAGAGCACGAGCGCTGCATCATGTCAGTGGACTGTTCAGCTATGATAGACGTGACACCTAACGACAG